CCCTGCTGCTCCCGGCCATGTCCCCGACGCTGGTGCCATCGGGTGACCAAAGCTCAGCAGCACTCTTGCACCAACCTTGGGCGACGCAGAGAGTGGCCAACACCAGACAAAAGGCCGACCAGTCCCGGTCGAGCTCCGAGTGGGCGGTCGTGAGGCTGTTGAAGCGAGAGGGAGAGGCCTTGCTGCCCTTCGCTCGGACGAACGGCCGGTTCGGCAGGGAGTCCAGAAACGCACGTCGCTGCTCCTCGGTGTTCTCGTCAGGCGAACGGCCCTCGTCTGCCAGAATGTCCGGGAAGAAGGCGAGCAGCAACGGGTCCGAACTGCTCATCGACAACGACATCTCGTCCGCCATGCCCTGGACCTTCCCGAACCACGTCCCCTTGTTCCATGGGCCGTACCGAACGTTGTACAACCCGATGGACATGAGGCTGAACGACAGGAGTCCGCTGGCCGCGAGCGCCAGGTGGACGTCGTTGTGGCTACGGTGGGCCGGGTCGTTGACGTGCTCCACGAACAGCGAACGACCGAACTTCAAGTAGTTCACGGCCGCCAGCTGAGTGGCCTCCTGATCCGTGCAAAGGATCAGGATCTTCTGCCGAAGGCCCTCTGCTGCGGCCGACTCAGACGAAGTGGCTGCGAAAGTCGACCAGCTGAAACCGATGCCCGAGAGGCTGTGCGAAATGTCCCGCATCCAGTCTTGGGTGGCCTGCCGCTCTGGCTGCTTGATGCCACCAACCACGCTGTCTTTCGAACGGCCCTTCGTGCCGACCTTCCGGAAGAAACTCGTGATTCGGCCGGCCCACATGTCCGTCCACGTCTGCGAGTCGATCGCCGTGCCCTTCTTCACCTGGCAGGGCCCACGTGTTTGGCTTTGCTAATACTATATTGGTTAAGCTTCGGGTTTCGGAAGTCTTCCCTTTTCTTAAAAAACAAACCTCGCAACCGGATTTGCTGCCCTGTCTCGACAATGAGCAGAACCCTTCGAATTCGGCTTCTGTCCTAATGCCTACTTCCTCGCCCTCTTTTAAGATTCCACTAACTTATTCCTCGCCGAACTCAAGCACGCAGAAAGGATATATGCTGAGCTCCGAAAAGACCAAAAAA